CTGCAGGAGGGGAGCTTCTTTTCAGATATGCAAGATTAAAGGACAGAGAAGGGCCCTCCAGGGCCTGCCAGGATTCCTTCATCCATCTCCTTCTGAACCCACCTGAACTTGAACCCGCCCCGTCTGACTGGTTTACAATCCATACCATCACAGGGAGACTTTTTCAAGTCACTGCTCCAAACTCCATTTTTCTATCTGGTTTCTAGATGGAGACCGACAAGTGGTCAGCTAGAGGGCTTATTCCCAACAAGGCTGGTTGCTGTGGTGGCAGGTCCCAGCATCCACTATCCTGGCACTGTCTCTGTCCTTTGTGTGGACGGCAGCTGTATTGACTGTGATTCTCCCACACCCTTGTGCGAACAGAGCAAACACCCATCCAGATAACTCTCTGCATTTGCCTCAGACCCTCTCTGCTGTGCTGTTTCAAGAGCAGAAACTAAAGGAGACCAGGCTTCTGAGATCACAGTGTGCTGCCTGTTTGGCTTTGGGAAGAAGGTTCTGGCCAGCTCAGGGACACCTTGGACCGCCGAGTGAAGGGTTGATGAAGCTTATGAAAACACTGGTATTAAAGGCCACAAACCTGGGCACAGCTTGCACCCGAAAGGCAAAAATAAGTAGCCCTGTAAGATACAGACTAGCGATGGGCGGGGCGGTGGGGCTGCCGTGGAGTCAGGCATGAAGAGGAGAGGTCCGAGGGACATGCTGCCCAGCATGGCATCCTCGCTGTGGGGCTATGCAGGCTATTTTTGGCTGGTTGGTTCTCAGATGCCTAGCTGCCATGGGAAGGTTATGCACTGGCTTCCCCTTGTGCCGAAACTGGCAGCGAAGCTCAAGCTGGGTATGTTACCTCATCGGCTTTCCTCTCTCTGCCCCAGGGGAGAGTTTAGTGTGGAAAGCAGCAGGAGCTTTTCCAACACAAATAAACCATCGCCTCGGGGAGCAACCGTGATGTTAGAAGATGAGGATGGGTTTCATGGGGGATGTCCCAGAGCCAGGTCCCAGCCCCTGTTAGGGACGCAGGCCAACCCGGGACCCGACAGAGATGTCCTCTGAAATACAGGTTGGGTGACTCTGTGCATGAATGGCTCTGATCCACAGGAGCAGCGTGGCACTTTGCCGACCCTTGCGTGTTTGTGGTAGTTGCTGGGAAAGAGAAGCCCCAAGACGGGAGCGCTAGCTTCCCAACAGGTGACACGGGGGCTTCACACGTGTGGGAGTCCCTGTGTGGGGCCCAGAGTGGTGTTGCTGCCTCTCTCCTTTCTCCCATTTCCCCAAATAAGCTTCCCAAAGGAAGAGAAAGGGTCAGTTTTGTGGACATACATCTACCACATGGATATTTTCTGGGTGGTTTTCATACTGTGTGTCCCTGGCAGCCACCCTGACTTCTTCAAGGTTATTCTGTAGTCAGTGCAGTCTGAACAGAGGGGCCCAAGATTTCAGGATTCTGCTGTGCTCCTCAAGATGCTACAGTGTCCCACAAGCCTTCAGAAGATGCGTGTCTGTGCCCGGGCTCGGTTTCACCCACCGCCATCTGCCGCTGGGAGCTGTGGAGACACCACTGTTAGTTCACACAGGGTGGACCCTATCCTGTGTGTGGTCTGCCCCGTTTGCTCTTGTCACCAGAAATACACCTTTATCCTGTTGTCACCTGGACTCCAGTATCCACCCCTTATTCAGATGAAGACATTTAACAGAGTCACAACAGCCAAGCCAGGTAGTGCTGCATGCCAGCAATCCCAGCACGCAGGAGGCAGAAGCAGCAGCAGGAGGAGGATCGCCAAGTTTCAGGCCCCTTAGGCTACACTGCCAGTTCTGGCCCAGTGAGGTGTTACATAGAAACCAATGTGTGCGTGTGTGTCTATAAAACGTGCACACGTACATATCTGTGTAGAGTTTCAGATGAGCACACAAGGTGAGGGAAGGCTTTTTTTTTCATAGAAGGACAATGTGGATTTTAGATTTAGGAACTGGTTTTATTCCTCCACCCCCCTCTTTTTTCTTTTCTTTTTGAGATGGGGGTCTCACTATGTAGCCCAGACTGACTTCAAACTTGAGATCCTGCCTGCTGGGGTTACAGCTGTGTGCTCCCATGCCTGGCTCGAACAGGACAGGCCACCATCCTACAACTAACTGCCTCCCCCCTGCCCTAGGCATGCTGCCCAGGGTGGAGGCTGTGAGGGCAGGGCTACAGGTTCACATGCCAGGCTGCGCCTGAGCAAGACAGGCTGTATCTGCTGTGTGTGTGTGTGTGCGCGGGTGTGTGAAGGATTAAGGTGAATTTTCAAATGCCAGCAAACTCCCTCCCTCTTCTTCTCTTCTGCCCTCCATTTTTTCTCTCTTCTCTTTCTCATTTCTCTCTTTATTCCAACAGTAAAGAAATATAAGGAGAAAAAAAAGGTTGAGGAGTTCTCTCAGTTGCTAAGTGTTTGGCTAGCATGTAAGAACCCCTGGGTTTGATCCCAGTGCTGTATAAATCTTGCTGTGGTGGCTCATGCCTGTGCTTCCAGCACTAGGGAGAGGCAGAATCCTTGCAAGTTCGAGGCTGCCCTGTTTTATGTAGCACCGAGCCAGATAGCTTTACATAGTGAGATCCTACCTCCAAACAACACTCAGGAGTTAGTGTGTGCTTGTAATCCCCACATTTGGGAAGTGAGGGCAGGAAGGTCAGAGTTCAAGGCCAGCCTCTGTTACACAGCAAGTCGGAGACCAATCTGCATTACAATTTGTCTCAAAACGCCAAAAAATCAAAATAAACAAATCAAATACATTGATGATGATCTGGTATATGTCTATACTCTAGAATGCTATGAAAACCACCGTAGTCAGCTTGCTAGTTACTTCGCCAGTGGTGTGGACTATGATGGAGACGTCCATCACCTTAGATGCTTATCAATTGGCTTCCAGTTTTCCTACCCGTGGAGTCCACTTTACCTGGCTCCCATCAAGTGTTTCAACTTCCCGTGGAGTTCAAAGTTTCTGAGGATAGGGGCTAAACCCATTTCTGAACTATAAAATCAGTTGTTAAAGCATGGCATTTTAAAGGTTAATAATGTAGAAGAAGAGCAGCGTATCCTAGAGGTGAGAGGATGCACCATTCGTAAAACTTAAGAAGCAGAGATGCTCCCCTCGGTCAACTGATTATTTCTTACTTGGTGTCTGTCGTGTGACTACATCCCCTGCTGTGCAGCATGGATCAGCCGTGATCCTCAGGTGCTTGCGGTGCTTGCAGCAGCTCGTCTCTGCAGAGGACTGACCGAATCAGTCACCAGTGTGTTACATACAAACACTTCCAGGAGGCAGCCGGAAACTAACAAAATCAACTGGTGGGTGATTTTTCACCGCTGGGCAAGAAATCAGTCAGGGTATTTTTATGAATGGTGGTTGACCGGCCCACCATATCTGTCACCTGGAGTCAAGCTGGGTTTCTCTGGAGCTGACTTTGAAAGACGGTTCAACTTTGCTTTGAAATGAGGATAACCAATCCCCTTTGACTGGTGCCATCATGGGAAGTCTCTATCCAGGAGACGGAAATGGAGTTCCCTTCAAGACCAAGTCACAATGCCCTGGCCTACTAACAGACTTTGGGGGGTGTGGTAGGTATCTGTCTAATCAAGGCAATGGGGAGAAAGACAAAAACACAGTACTGGAGTCAAAGGGGGTGGTGAGGCAGGGACCCTGGGACCTGAAGCTTTCTTCTGCCTCTTAGTGGGCAGTCGGGCTGCTGGCCCTAGCACAGGGGGACAACCTGTGCCTGGAGATGCTGATTTGGGGGACAGTTGTGTTGCCTTTCTGGTGGGTAGGAAGAAGGACGGGGAGGGGGTGTAGCATACCATGCCCGTCTGCACTCTATGAGCTTCCATACAGTTCGTGAACTGGGCAAGGGGCTGGAGATTGAAACACACAAAGACTCACAGACAGAGACACGGGTCATCCTTGATGCCAAAATCCTTGAAACAGGAATGCCCCCCTTATTGTGTACCAGAGCCGCTTATATAGAGATCCTTAACTGATAGCCACGCCCCAGCCAAACCCACCAGAAACCACTCTCCTGCCATCAGGAACTCCTGAGGGTCTCGTGATCAGAGCAGCTACAGGCTGTCTCAGAGCAGAGGAAAACAAGTTGTTTACAAGAAATCCAGGATCTGGGGGTTCACTGCTCCCAACAGGGGGGAAGGGGCACTTGGGAACTCAGAAGGTGGGAGGATAGATAGCCTTGGAGAACATCACGAAAGGTCCAGGTGAGACTAGAGATCTGAAATATGCCACTTACTTCAATGAGGCTTACTAACCACTCAATACTTCCCTTTCTAAAGTTCTCATAATGTTTTTTTTTTTAAAGTGAAAAACAGAATACCAATACAAAGATGGCATCAGATAACTACAGGCATGCTTAAAGTTGGGTATAGCTATCCTTAATCCCGCCTAAGACCTCTGGGGCTGTTTCTGGAACTCCATCCTGTGAAACTGTGCCTTAAGAAGCCATGAGAAAGCTGGGAGGTAGAAGAGGGCCTCCTGCCCACCCAGAGTGCATGTCAGGGCTCTGGAGTCAGCCGCTGGGCCCTGGGGTAGGGGTGGTTTTCACCAAGAGGCCTGAGACATCTGGTCTGCCCTGCTCCCCGGCAGACCACGGGGAGATAACGGCTAATCAGACTGTCACACACAGTGTAGGCGCCGTTTCTGGACTGAAGGAGGAAAAGAACATCAAAACCTAAATAAGAGATAAATACATATTCAAACTAACACTCTCTCTCTCTCTTTCTCTCTCTCTCTCTCTCTCTTTCTCTCTCTCTCTCACACACACACACACCACACCACACCACACCACACACAAGTGTGCGACAAAAAGCAAGACCACCAGAATTGCCTACAGCTGCATTCAGGCAACGGTGAGGGGTCTGGGTGGGGGATCCAGCAAACCCTGCTCTGGTGCCCCATTATATAACCACGCTCTTACCGGCCCCGCCCGTCTTGAACTCTACTGCTGTTTACTTTTACTCTGTAACTCACATGCCGTATTAAGGTTGAATGAAGACATTTATTTGTAAAACCAATTCCCGACAGAGGACAGACTGTATTGGCAGGATGTAAATGGGCGGTCGCCCAGAGGGCCACATGCACACCACAGTGAAACGCAGGGAACCGGGCAGACAGCACAGCTGCCGACCCCCCCACACTGCTTCCAATGGGCCAACGAGAGCAGAGCCCTTTCCACTGGAGGACACGGATGCAGGGAGATGTCCTGTGAGAAGGCAATTTGGTCGGACCTCCACCATGGAGTGGGAGGGAACAACAGGGACCTCCTTTCTATCGCCCGTGGCTAGTTTGCTTGCTATAGACCCGCTGGAGGTCTCCGTGGTCCTCCACCTGCCAGCAGGAGGGCAGCAGCATCCAACCCTCTGGCCTCCTCACATGCCCATCCTTATGCTCTGTATGATCTGGAAGATAGCTGGGAGAGGAAAGAAAACAGACGGCTCAGATACCAGACAGCTGAACGCTGGAAACCCAACCCACCCAAGCACCCCACTTCTGCTGACCCTGCCCCTCGCTGGCTGGCTCCGAGCTGATTAGATACTTCCTAACGAGAGGTTACATTAACAAGGGGTCAGTGAGTTTCTTTCAGAAAGACAGCCTGGCTCTGGCTGCTGACGGATGCCTCTGGGATTAATAACTTCTGCTAATTCCACCAGGAGCTGCAGCGAGAAAACCCCGAGGCATGGGAGATAGCCGTGGCCTCCTTCCCCATCTCTGTTCTGCGGGGCTGCTGGGGAGAGAGATGTGGGCCTTCGTGCAGAAACTGAATGCATTAAGCAAGTCAGTGAGTCTGCCTGTTCAAAACGGCCATGACCTATGAAACAACCAATTCTCTGGGGGAAGGCCGGCCAGGTGTTCAGAGCACACACACAGGGCTGGCCTCTGCTGCCCGTGACCCTGAACACATCTGTCGTTCAGCTTCCTTGTGACTCGAAACCCACTGTGTCTCGCTGACAAGTTTAGGGCTCCACCTTTCATTAGCCGGGCTGGAGGGATGTGGGGGAGGGTAGAAAGAGCCTGAAGCCCACAGAGAGCTCCTGGGCACTTGGTATACCTGGAGACAATTAGTTAAGCAATGCCTAGCCTGGTTCTAGCTATTGGCTCTTGGGGAAAGAAGGTCCTTTGTGTGTGTCGGGGAGGCTGGGGATCACCTTGTTGAATCACGGATAAAGGCAGAATAAACACGGAACTGGCAGGAGTCTCCCCCATTCTCTGCACAAAGACATCCGGGGAAATACTCAGGAAAGTCCACTTCCTACGCTGGGCTCTCAGGAACCCTGAGGAAACCTCATGGGACCGGGCACCTGCAGGCTGAATAGCTCTTATCCGAGCATTTAAGCCCTGAGTATTGATTTCGGGGTCCTCTTTTGGATTTTGGAATATCTGCATATATACTGTGAGATTTCTTAGGAATGGGCCCCACACCTCACCACGAACTTTATGTCCCATATGCAGCTTACAGCCTGAAGGTAACATTACACAACATTTTTACTAACTTCATGCATGAAGCAAAGTTCCATGGTGTTGGACATTCCACTTGTGGCCTGACACCATCATCAAAAGGTCGAGCTTTTAGAGAATTCCAGATCTCGGGGGTTTGCAGTAGGGACATTCAACACTGTGACGCCTACAGGAACTGCTTAGAGACAGACAGAAAGGCCACAGAGGGCCCTGGGAAACCTTCCTCGAATGGCTGATTTGAAGATAAAATGCTAATGCATTCTTTTTCTGTAAGGGGGGATGCTTTTCTATAGAGATACTGTGTGTGTGTGTGTGTGTGTGTGTGTGTGTGTGTGTGTGTGTGTATCCCTGTCTTCCTGAACTGGAAAACCTAATCACAACATGACATTATCTCTTCGTGAGCATAAGTATCACTAAGAAAAACAACAGCTAACGGTCCTTTGCGATGGCATCGTTATGGGGGGCACAGCATTTTTTACCCCCTGTACACCTCGTCTTGTGTCCTCACTGTTGCCTCTGGTCACATCATCGCTGGTGTCACTGCACTCATAGGCACCATGACTTTACTGCTGTGGACCAATGTCATCAAAGACTATTGGGATCGGCGAAGGAGTCAGTTCAGCAGCTTAGGATATTTAATCTTGGCTCTGCTCACAGATTCTCCTGGCTGGCTTTGGGCCCTTGGCTGGCTCTCGATGGGAACATTTCCTACCAGAACTTACAAATGCGGGAAACTACCTAACGTTTCTGTCCTCCTGAGCAAGCCTGGCAAGAGCTGCAGGTTAAAGAAGCAGTTGGCATTTTAAAGGGCACAAAGGAGTTACATAGTCAGTCACGGGAGGGAAAACACACATGCACATCTGTCACGTTCTGAGCTTAGGGTCACCCTGATCATCTCAAGCGAGTTGGTTTTATAAAGAGCAGCAGGTTAGATTAAGGTGGAATGGTTTGAATCACAGCTGTCGTGAGTGGACACATAATTTAGCGTCTCTCAGGCTAGTCCCTCTTCTCCTCTGGGTGGCAAGTACCTGTCAGGGTTAACAGCACCGTCACAGGCATTAAGTGATACACGTATGAGGACTCCTCACACAGAAAACGCAGTGCACACCATATGGCATGCCTACTGCAGTCACTGAATGGGACTAGACATGGTCCAGATTTTAGATATTTTTCTTTTCTTTTTTCTTTTGCTCTGAGCTTGTTTATACATACACAATGTGCTGCTCCGGGAATGAGACCCAAGTCCAAACATGAAATTCATGTATGTTTCATTTATATCTAGCATTATATGTAGCTTGAAGACTTCTGTTTTAAAAACATCTTTGTGTGTGTGTGTGTGTAGTGTGTGTGTGTATGTGTGTGTGTGTGAGTGTGTGCACGTATGTACCTGCTCAGCAGTATATGCACCGTGTTTATGTTGGTTCCCTTGGAGGCCAGAAGAGGGACCCTGGAGCTGGAGCTACAGGTGGTTGGGAGCTGCCTGATATGGGTGCTGGGAACTGGGTTAGGGGGCTCTGAGCCAGCTCTCCAGTCCCTAAAGAATTGTTTTGTACAATTGTTTTTAGTGCCCCTCAATGTCGTGGCCCACTCATTTCATGAGGCCAGATGAAGAATTTACCATTGGTGGGATCTTTGAGATTTGGGAACATTTTGGGTCTCAAATTTTTGGGTTAGACAATGGACCTATATTATAGTTCCCATAGTGACCACGGCTTGCCCATGAAAGTTAACACTCGCATGTCATCTATTCTGATAAAGTATGTACTTTGGGGAATTACAGTTCTAAGTTCGACGTTCTGTTTGTAAAACCATGGATTCCCAGGAATAAATATAGTGCCATGTTTAAAAATCTACCTGCCCATGGTTAATGCCCCCCCCCCCTCAAAAAGTTACCTTTTCCTTAATCTCATCTGAGGATCAGTGGGCCATAGGCCACTGAATAAGATATGGGCTAAGTCTTCATCTATCACATTTTATATTAAGTTGATTTGGGGCTTTAGAAGTTCTAGATCAGGATAAAGTGGTTCGATTCTCCTTACAGAACTGCTATTAGTCTAAGGCATCTTGGACAAACGTGGTAAGCCTCAGAGGGGCAAAGCCTATGTCAAACAATTAGCCTATTTGAGTGTTCTCTGAAAGTAGTCATTGTATCTGACCCTAACTGAAGCCGTGAATTAGCATAAAAAGTGTTTACTACTTTTAATTTGCGCACAGAACGACTCCCTCTGGAGAAATGGCTGAAGTCTATTTCAAGTTCACATCTAAGACTGGTGCAACGGGAACGCTTATTATCCCTTTTCCAGTCGTATCAATGTCTTCGAGAGGTTTTCTACATTTTATACCAATTACTTTGCCTGCAATTCTGTGTGCCTGCCGATGCTGACCTGCATGATGACCCCGGCCCTCTAAATGCCGCCTTTCCATGCTGCGAACAGGAAGGGAGTCAGCAGCGAGATCAAAGAGAGAAGGGAAGCAGGGAGTCTAGACCCTGACAAGTTAATAACTTAACAGTGGGTTAACAAAGCTGAGAAAACAGCTGAACGGGCTGCAGGAGAGGGGCTGAGGGCCAACTAGACAAGGGGGAAGAGAGATGCCAAGAAAGGACAGGAAGGTGGCCTTCTGGGCCAGCCGCTAGGTCCTGGGCGGGGCACAAACAGAGGCCCAGGGAAGTCTCTGCAGGAGCAGGAACTGTCGGAGTGAATGGACTCTGCCCCTGCCCCTGTGTGATTGGGGAACTTGACCCTCGGAGACCTTGGGTGGTCACAGCTCAAGGTTCTTCATTCTCCCTCTTCCAACCAACTCAAGCTTCAATGAGTCTTCTGTTCTATCTCCATACGCTGGCTCGCGTCTCTGAGGAGCTGCTCCCAGCCATTCTCCTTGTGTGCTTACCTCACAGTTCACCTCAACTCTTTCCTTCTACCTTCTCTCTCCACTGAAGCATATTCTGCTGACGTCACAAGTGACCTCTGTGTCACTTAGTGTGGCAGACAACTCTCAGCTCTTTGTCTCACTTCCCTCCTCCTTACCACTGGTGCACTCATCTGGAGTGCTCTCCTTTTGGCCTTTGGGATGTCGTGGCCTCTTTGTTTCTTCTTCTGGGCTCTCCCCTCTCACAGTGTTTAAGGGGTGATCTTCCTCCACCACGCACTGAGATTGAGCAGTGCTCAGTGATTTGCCTCTCCTCATTATATTCTCTCTCCTGAGGTGACCTGTCCTAGCCCACAGAGGTGCTGGTAAGCACTCACAGTGGAACTTTCCGTCCCTGACTGTTTGGAACAGCAGATCTTCACTGTCTGTCATCTGATTACTGTCGGGCTTCTCATCTTCTCATCCTGCCTTCCCCGCTGACAAAACTGGTGACATCGCCTCCATCCTCCATGTAAACACGGAACTCTAGCATCACCTATGACGTCACCTCCATCCTCCATGTAAACACGGAACTCTAGCATCACCCGTGACATCACCTCCATCCTCCATGTAAACACGGAACTCTAGCATTACCTATGACGTCACCTCCATCCTCCATGTAAACACGGAACTCTAGCATCACCCGAGACATCACTTCCATCCTCCATGTAAACACAGAACTCTAGCGTCACCCGTGACAGCACCTCCATCCTCCATGTAAACACGGAACTCTAGCATCACCCGTGACATCACCTCCATCCTCCATGTAAACACGGAACTCTAGCATCACCCGTGACATCACCTCCATCCTCCATGTAAACACGGAACTCTAGCATCACCCGTGACATCACCTCCATCCTCCATGTAAACACGGAACTCTAGCATTACCTATGACGTCACCTCCATCCTCCATGTAAACACGGAACTCTAGCATCACCCGTGACAGCACCTCCATCCTCCATGTAAACACGGAACTCTAGCATCACCCGAGACATCACCTCCATCCTCCATGTAAACACGGAACTCTAGCATCACCCGTGACAGCACCTCCATCCTCCATGTAAACACGGAACTCTAGCGTCACCCGTGACAGCACCTCCATCCTCCATGTAAACACGGAACTCTAGCATCACCTATGACGTCACCTCCATCCTCCATGTAAACACGGAACTCTAGCATCACCCGTGACAGCAGCTCCATCCTCCATGTAAACACAGAACTCTAGCATCACCCGAGACATCACCTCCATCCTCCATGTAAACACACCCGAGACAGCACCTCCATCCTCCATGTAAACACAGAACTCTAGCATCACCCGAGACATCACCTCCATCCTCCATGTAAACACGGAACTCTAGCGTCACCCGTGACAGCACCTCCATCCTCCATGTAAACACGGAACTCTAGCGTCACCCGTGACGTCACCTCCATCTTCCATGTAAACACGGAATGCTAGTGTTGTCCTAACCTTGTAACTGATGATGTCCTATGGAATCTTGGGATATGTAGTCTTCTGTCTCCCCAGATACCACCCTAGCTCAAGTTGCTACCATCTTTCCTGACCTCTGCAATGACTTCCAACTGCTCTATTCAATCCCTTTCCTGCAAGAAACTCAGATTTGGCCTTTAAAAGCAGACTGGATGAGATTATCCCCTGGTTAAAGCAAACCAGGAACGACTTCTTGCTAAATTCTCAAGGGCTACCATGACCTGCAGAATCTGGTGCTAGAAAATTCTTCCCCTCACCCAGAAACTCCCTCATGATTTCCAAAACTCCCTGGCTCAACCACAAGGCTTTATCCCAGGCCATTCTTTATCTGACATAGAGCTCTCGCCTGCCACATGGCCCGCTTTCTCCATAAGCTCCAAAGGTATTTCCTCAGAAAGAATGTCTTTGGCACCTCAAGCAGATAATCTTAACCATGAGCGTTAACCATGCCACGATCTTCTGAGAACGTATTGAAATACAGATGTGAGAAAAATCAAATCCCCATTCAACAAATAAAAAAACAGCAAAAACCCTACCCCCAGTGAATAAATCAGCTAATGAACTGAACAGGCAGTTTTTTGCTTGCTTGTTTGTTTATGTTTTTCAGGACAGGGTTTCTCTGTGCAGCTTTGGTGCCTGTCCTGGAACTCGCTCTTTAGACCAGGCTGGCCTCGAACTCACAGAGATTCATGGGCCTCTGCCTCCCAAGTGCTAGGACTAACGGCATGCGCTACCACCATCCAAATGGACAGTTCTTAAACCTTTTTAAAAAATAATAAGTATCCTTGGCCATTAAGGTATTGCAAATCAAAACTGCTTTAGGAGTCTATCTTACTCCAGTCAGAATGGCTATGGTCAAGGGGGAAGGGGATAAAGCAACAAAAACAGATGTTGGTGAGGGTATGGTGAAAGAAAAACCCCTCTCCACTTCTGGGGCGACTATAAATTGTGAGCACACGGAAGTCATCACACCCCAGAGGTGCACGTGCATTCATGGTTACAACTTCACTATTCAAACAGCTAAGAAGTGGACCCAGCCTAGATGTAGTTGTAACCATGACTACGCAGGCATCTCTGGGTTGTGTTTTATAGGAAAATGACAGAAGCTGGGAATCCGCTCCAAGAGAAGGCTTGAGGCCACTTTTACCATACATAAATACTTCACGATAAGAGATCAAGAAGAGTTGTTAAGAAGAGATCAAGGTAGGCCAGTTCAAAATCCTTTAGGCAGATAAGACAATGACAGAAACTGAACTTTACTTTTTACCAAGAGAAAGATGGGGAAAGGTTGGTTAAAGAAAAGCGCGGGTCCCCTGGCAGAAGCGTCAGGAGACAAGACTCAGCAAAGGACCCAGGAAGCTCTTGGAGGGAAAATCACAAAGACACAACAAACAAGGTGCCATTTCCCACAGGTTGTCCCAGAGAAGAAAGGCTAGAGATGCCAGACCGGTTAGGACAGAAAGATGTGGAAAAGCAGGTGTCACTAACAAAGACTGGGATGTTTTCCCAGGAAGAGACCCCACGCAGGGGCACACTGACAAGAGTGTTACAGGTCACCTTGGGAGAGCTGATGGCTGCTGAGATGTCTCCTCCAGACGGTCCATCTTGGTCCTCTGGGGCTGTCCGGTTCTCACGCACCTCAGGATGGTCTCTGGGGTGACTCCCTCTGGGGGCAGTTTCCAGAATGCTCTGCCAGTCTCCAGGAAAAGCCAGTATTTATGTGGTCAACCTGCAAACAGGTGAATTCAAGTCTATCCTGGAACATGTTTCCAGGAGAGTGGGAGGGGAGTGGAACATTGGGGAACCAATGAAAGATCAGTCTGTGTCTGGGGAACCAATGAAAGATCAGTCTGTGTCTGGGGGAACCAATGAAAGATCAGTCTGTGTCTGGGGAAACCAATGAAAGATCAGTCTGTGTCTGGGGAACCAATGAAAGATCAGTCTGTGTCTGGGGAACCAATGAAAGAGCAGCTGGTAGCTGGGGAAAGATCTCTCCATTTGGCACAGATGGTTAGATGTCTGGTTAGATGTTTAGAATCCAGAGGATGCTTTAGCTGGAATTGTTTTCAACGCAGGCATACCCAAGGCCTAAAGTCAGCAAACTTTGGCTCCATAGTGCTTTTAGGAAAATCGTTTGAGAGAGAATGTGGGACAAGAGGAAGCAGATAGGGTTTGAGCCCTGGAGCCTGGAGCACTAACCTTTAGACCACAGGATCACGTGGGTTTGGGGTCTCGAAAAGCTAGATTTGGGAACTAGTTATCTCGGTTTTTAGATATGAACTTCTAGCTGGTTTTCTCCATGTGTGACAGTTTTATGGTCTGGAAAAGGGGTGTAGTAGCCTCCTTGTAGGGAGGGCTTGTAGGGCTGTGTGGTTGGGAGATAAAATGTACAGAGCCCGGCATTACAATGAGTGCTCGGGACGCGGTAAGCGGAACAGTAGGAAGAGACCTCGCTCTCACCCCGCGGGCTAGATCATAACGTGTTCCTTCTAGAAGCAGAGCAGAGGTTCCCTCTGTCCCCAGCTTCTCTGTGAGATGCAGCTGATCAAGAAGGGGCTGGTGTTGGCTAGATCAGAGTGCCGCCCTCCACTATGCCTGTCTGCACCAGCACGAAGTATTGCTACTGAAGAGGTGTGAGCATTTACAACTTCGGTCACAGCCTAACAGGGGAGGTGCAGCGAGGCCCAGTGAAGAAGAGCCAGGTGCATGATTACAACAATAAGAAGAAACATAAAACCACTGAGCATTTTGTATGTTAAATGTCAATTGTCAGGAGGAGCTGTCATGAGGACTGTGAGTTCAGAACCAGTCCCATCCTCTTTAGCAATGGAAGACACGAGGCTTAGAGCTGACATCAGTAACTTGGACACAGCCACATAGCTGGGAAGCAGGTGGCAGACCCAGGTTTCGGCAGAGGCTGGGTTTGGTGTTGGAACTCTCAGCCTCTGAGCTAACTCTGTCCACTTGGTGGCTTGCAGCCACCACTCTAAAATGCACACCTCCCTGTGTTCCTGGAAGGGCTCAGTGAACAGCAGCCTCTCACAGTGGCCTTAGCTGTTGCAAAAGGTCCTGTTGGGGTGACTGAGCCTTGGGTTCAAAGACATGTCACCACAAAGCTGGTGAGCACACGAGGGTCACACAGGGAACACAGGGTAGAAGACACTAAGGGGAGACGTTCTCTGTCCTTCCGCACGTCTCTGACCTATTCATGACTCAGTTTTTCCCCTCCCCCATAGCATTCTGAACGTAAAAGGCCGGCCTTAAGGAAGGTCAGTGTGGGACCCTACTGGAAATAGACATCCCATAGCATCCACTCGGGACAGAGCTGGACTATCTGACACTGGAGTCTGGGCATGGGGAAGAGTACAGGCCCTGCCAGGAACATCCAGAGAATCACCTCACATCAGTTCTAAAAAGGCTGTCCTGAAAGAGAACCTGCCTGTGACATGCTATCTCTGTCCTCATCCCCAGCTTCCCAGGCAGAGTCCCCAGGGAGTGCAGGAGAGTGCAGTCTGTCAATTGACCAACAAAAGCCAGGTCCCTACCCAGAAACAGGGGAGCTGGCAGGCTGCATGGTGCCAAGTAAACATAGCGGACTTTGTGCTCAAAGCCTTAACTACGGGGCGAGAGGCCAGATCAAATCGACGATTTAGTGAGCCAAGATGGCTGCTGCTTTCCACATGTAGATAAAGAAGTCAGAAAATCAGCCGGGCGGTGGTGGCACACGCCTTTAATCCCAGCACTTGGGAGGCAGAGGCAGGTGGATCTCTGTGAGTTTGAGGCCAGCCTGGTCTACAAGAGCTAGTTCCAGGACAGGAACCAAAAGCTACGGAGAAACCCTGTCTCGAAAATCCAAAAAAAAAAAAAAAAGTCAGAAAATCTAGCAACACAGGGCAAAAGGGCTATACACACAGAGAGATAAAAATATAGACACATACAAACACACAGACATAGAGATACATACACACACAGATACACACATACAAACACATCCGCACATAAAGATACTTAGACACATACAGATAACAAACTCACACACACACACACAAAGATAGATACATACACAGATACATTCACATACATACAAATACATACAGGCTTCACATAAGCACATACACACTGACATACATACATATTCACACACATACATTCATAAGCATGTATAATGTCTATAATACATATAGACCCATATATGCACAGACACTTTCCACACATATATGCACACACCCTATCCCCCCACATACACAGACACACAACTTACACACATGCACACAGACATACACACACAACACATATGACTTCGCATTCGTTCAAAAACATATAGAAATCTAAACATATGCATAAGCATACATATAAGCAGCCCATATAGCAAATATACATATGGACACACAAACATATAAACAAACACAAACACATAGAAACACACAAATATACACAATACACATACATCAATAAACATAAATACATTTGTGTATATATAAATACACACATATAGAAACCTACACATCAACACAGAATATCAGCACATATATAAGCACATAGATACACAAATGCATACGCAAGCACAGAAACAGAACCTAATGTCTTACATGTAAGAACCTATGCGTTGACTAACACACATGTATACAATAAACACATACACAGACACACATAGACACACCACTACTTCAATTACAACAGTTGTCCTTTAATTTATTCGGCTTTTTAGCAGAAATCCTTGGCCTTCCAAAGGAAAAAGGGCTAAAAAGCAGTCATCCAGGGTTTTGTTCTCAGAAAATATTCTGATTATAAACTACACACTCATGACAAATTCACACAATACAGAAAATTATGGAGGAAATAACGGTGATGGATTAATCCTGTCCACTACAAGTTCCCTTTGATGGGGAAGCTCAAGAATGCCCAAGCTTTGGGAGCCCTTAAAACTCTCAACTTCTAATTAGGAAATCAGTATTAAGGTTTACCAGAAAGGAGAAATAAAATTGAAATTGGGAATACACAAAGGAAAAACAGCCTGCGAAGGAACTGGGGTGTGACTGGGATTTAAGAGGTTCTGGCAGAGAAGCAAAGGATGCTGGGGATTAAATGGTTCCACTGATCTCAGCTGGTCTAACTGAGGATGGAACAGGCAACATCTCCGCCACAAGAATGCCCCAGATCGCTGCTCTTTGCCATTGGGTTCAGGAGAGGGAAGTCATACTGTAAGACCACTAGAAGCAGGCCCGTGCTAAATCTAAATTTAAAAATTGCCCAGAGAGCATATTATGAAAAGACCGAATGTTTAGGAGACATCTGGTCAAGGAAGACAGTGGAAAGCATTGAACAAAGTTATTTTGTTCGATGTGAATACTATACAAAGCTTAGTTCGGGGATAACAAAGATGAGGATTGAGCTCTGGTGACCACAGCATGCTCATAGCAGACATCACTAATCACTAATCAATTGCTACCTACGGTCTAATAATCATTTTTTCAAAGTTTTAAAGAGCTGAGGCTTGGGAGTGTAGCCTAATGGTAGTGTCTCCCCAACACGTGTAGAGGCCCTGGTTCAGTCTCCAGCATCACAAAAATAAAAACACCAATCAACGAGGAAGAGGAGGAGGAGGAACCAGGGGATCATAGTTTGATGCACAAATAGTCCCAATGAGATCCGTCAGTGGTCTGGGGATTGGCATCAAGTCTGCATGTCGGCAAGAGGCTTGAGGAGGCAGCAGACAGCAGCTGGAGTGTCTGTGTGACAGTATCTCTGCAGGGACCAGTCACAGACAGACATTCTGGATGATGCTTGTCTCCGAGTCCTGAGATAAAACACCCAGCAGTCCTCTGAGGACGCTGTGAGCCTTTCTCCAGTGGAGGCGATTTGAAAAGCCAAGACTGAGTGTTCCAGGAGATGCTTATCTACAAAGAGGCCTCATGGCTTGAAAAAAATAGAAGATAAAAAGGGGGACAAGGGAGGGGGGCACAAGCTCCTGCAAGGCACTTGAGTTCCTTAGGCTTCAATAGGGGGCTGGATCTGAAGAGATCAAGTAGAGAGAAACAAATCCAGCCAGTTCAGCAGGCTCAAGAACACCCCGAATCCCAGACTAAGAGCAGGTATTTGATTTTCCATTCCAGACATAATCTATATAATATTAATAAAAAAAATAAAGCTCACTGCAGCATTCAATTTAACAAAAAATGGTCCAGACACGGCTCTACTGGGCATCAGGCATCAGTAGTCACAAAAGAACACATGATACAGAGCTAGTTCCAGGACAGGCTCCAAAGCCACAGAGAAACCCTGTCTCGAAAAACCAAAAAAAAAAAAAAAAAAAAAGAACACATGATTCCTAGTGTTGTCAATTTCACAAGGAAAAGGACACAAAATGGGGAGTGTGTTAGCACTGCTTTAAGGAAATGAAACACACTGTGTTTTTTATGCTCAATTTGAAGCATAAACCACTATTCTCTGAGGCTGGTCCATACGGTGGGACTTCCTTCTTGGGTGGGAGTGGTGCTCTGTGTTATCACATGAGGAAACAGGGTTAGCCTAGAACGGCTCTCATGCACCCTCTGAGGCAAGAGACAAGCAGGCACGCTGGCTGATGGTCTTCTGATAGATCAATTAGACACACAGCCTGGGAGAAGGGATGTGAGCCTGAGCATCCCACAGCTGGACTGATATTTTCTACAGGGTGTGGGTATTTGTGATGGATAATGGTAGGTTTGTGCTTGTGACGGACCAGATCCC